CATAATATATCCACAAAAAACATTTTATACACTTTAATAAATTTTAACATCTAATGATGAAAATATTTTGCAGGTCTCTTTTAACAACTCAAGTATAAGAATTCGAGTCTATTCACATAAAAGAACATTACATATTTTCAAAAACTTAAAAACTGTTTTTGTGCTTAAACAACTTTAAATTTTATGAGAATAACGAACGAACACACGACATAACAATCACTCAAGCCGCTGCTTTATTTCCGTGAACTTCCCCTCCTTTTCCCCAGGTTTAGCGATGGCCCAATTTATGGCCGAAAGATTCTTTTCCCGTTGGAGCATTAATTGGCGAACAAATATGATGGAGAGACGTTGGAGGTGGCGTTACTTCGATCGCCGAAGAAGTCGAAGAACTTCTATTCTCCGTTTTTCCGTGCGTGAGATCAAATTGGGGAAGAGAGGTGTGGTTTGATCTTTTTTATTGATTTAATGATAGGTTTGGGCTCCGGCCCAAATTTAATTGCTTCCTTTTAAATTTGTATTTCGATTTGGTCTTTTGCTACATTTTTTCTCAAAAAATAAGATACAATATCTTATAATTTTGAGTTAAGTAAAACAAAATAAAATGAAGAAAATAATAAAATGTAAAAAATGATTAAAAATCTACTATTTTTCAAAGAAATTAAAATATTGTAAAAATGAGAATTAAAATAAAACTAAGCTAAAGAACTTAAAATTGAATCTTAAAAATATTAAAAATTCCTAAAAAAAAAGGAACCAAACTAAACCCGACTTATCAAATATCTAGGAAGAAATCTATTTGTATGTTACTGGAGTCCAAAATAAAAAGTCATTATGAGAATTACGTAACGTATTTAATACCTCATAAAATATAAATTTGGGTGAATAATGTCATAGTGAAAAAAATTTGGTGGAATGAGAATTTGACAAGTTTTTTATGGTAATATTATCTTCACACTAGCTATAATGGCTTAAGCGATGTTATCATAACTAATAGTATGGTTGCTCCCTGTGGTTTACATAAAGGGCATCAAAATCCCTTCTGTTTTCAAAAGTTATTTGTAAAATTCCTATGTATCTAAATAGAGCACACATGCCCCCCTACTTATTTTTAAAGCAAAAATAACATTTATGCCCTTTATTTTCATCAATCTTGAATTTTTCCAATTTTATTTTCTTTTATTATACAAATATATAAAATAAAATATATGCTTCCCATCTCGTATTAAAATTTTCCATAATGCATTTTTTACAACAAAAGTTTTTTGGAGAATATTACAAAAGAAAATGAAAAATAAAATATATGTATAAAGTAAAAATAGTAATTGAAAAAGGTAATGAAAAGAAAGAAAAATATAAAAATCGGTCTTTTCTTTAACTCTTTTTTTCATCTTTTTGTTCTTCATTTTTTTAAAGTCCTTAAAAAAACTATTTTACTTTTTTAAAGTCCTTCATTTTACTATTTTACTTTTTTAAAGTCCTTAAAGAAAATCGGCTTTAACTCTTTTGTTTCCACCTACAACCCTTCCGATCACTTACACTTAGCATTTGCGTGGTAATTTACACCATCAAATTGGCGCCACCCGTGGAACCTATTACAAAAAGTCATGACAAGCAATCAGGAAACCGTCATCTCACAAATCTCTACTCCCGTTGAGAACGTCGCCTCGTTCCCGGGAGGGAGTGCACAACCCTCAAACCAGATTCCTACCCCCATCATCACCATTCCAACACCTACTCCTTTCACTTCCCCCATCACCTCTATCCCTGTTTTTTCTCCAAATTTTCCCGGGCCCATGGACCCGCTGTTTTTACAGGCATTCCAAAATTTTGGGCAGTTCATGTCCATGTTTCAGCAGCCGGGAGGATTTTCACCTTTCATTCCCGGGTTATACCCACAATCCTTGCCCCAAACTAATATCACCCGCCCGGTCGCTCCATCAAATCTGATCGGAGAGATGGACAAAGCTGGTCCGTCCCGGTCCAGAAGGAGTCGGTCCCGAAGGTCACGCACGCAGATCACGCCTAATGGCGATGTGCGCTCAGTCCATAGCAGGGATGAGGATTGGGATGTACCCCAGGCACAAAAGAAGCTGAAGGGAAAAGCTATTCAACCTGAAGGGTCCAGGAGGTCAGCGTTTCAAAGGCTTGGCCATGAGGGCAGAAATCAAAACCGGCCTGCCAAAAAACGACTAGGGGTGGAAACAGCCCCGTTGAGTGCTTTTGATCGCCTGGGTAGAGGGGCCGAGCGACCTGGTCGGACCGGGCACACGGAACCTCCCCATTGTGAAGAGCCCCAGCACAGCCGGGCACCGCGAGAGGAAGAAGCAGAAAGCCACCCCAGGCACACGACCCATATCGAACAACCCCGGGATCGTGTGGGCTGGGTAGAGGCACGTTTGGAGAAACTACAGTGCCGAGTAGACAAGGGCGAAAAGAAGAAAATCCTGCTAAACGAATCCTGCTAAAGAAAATCTTGCTAAACGAATCTCCGTTGCCCCCCGTGGTTTACATAAAGGGCATCGAAACCTCTCTGTTTTCAAAAGTTATTTGTAAAATTCTTATGGTAGAGCACACATGCCCCTCTACTTATTTTTAAAGCAAAAATAATATTTATGCCCTTTATTTTCCTCAATCTTGAATTTTTCCAATTTTATTTTCCTTTATTATACAAATATATAATATAAAATATATGCTTCCCATCTCGTATTAAAATTTTCCATAATGCATTTTTTACAACAAAAGTTTTTTTGGAGAATATTACAAAAGAAAATGAAAAATAAAATATATGTATAAAGTAAAAATAGTAATTGAAAAAGGTAATGAAAAGAAAGAAAAATATAAAAATCGGTCTTTTCTTTAACTCTTTTTTTTCATCTTTTTGTTCTTCATTTTTTTAAAGTCCTTAAAAAACTATTACTTTTAAAAAATAAATAAGTTAGAATTTCTAATTAGAGATAAAGTGAGTATATGTTCTCTAATTTTTTTATTTTATTTATTTAACTTTTACTTATAATGAAATAGTGTAGTTTATTTCATTTTTTAATTTTTCATTTTCTTTTGTAACATTTACTAAAAAAATCATTTTTTTTGAAAATTAAACAAATGAAAAATTTAAATTTGAGAAAGAGGGCGCATATTTTATTTTATTTTTTTTATAACAAAAATGCAAATAAAAAGTGAAATTTGAAGATAGAGAAAAATAAAGAGCAAAAATGTCATTTTATGTCTCAAAATAGGCAAGAGGGGGCGTATTTGCACTATTTAAAAGCCACATGGGTTTTACAAATTACTTTTGAAAGTAGAGGAGGTTTTGACGCTTTTTTGTAAACTACGTGGCACCCATGCTATTAACCTCAATTTTGGTGTTATAATGACTTTGGAGTTTGGACTATATTGTCTCAAATAATTGTGGACTTTGGTTGTTGTTGACTTGTTGTTGTCTCAAATAATTATGGATATAATTAAACTTAAGAAAAATAATTGAGTCATACATCGTAGGTACTCCGTATTGCATAAATGTAGGGATGACAATTCAATCCGAACCCGAGCTTAACCGACCCGATCGAGCACTAAAATATCTGAACCCGAACCGAAAATAAAATAGTCCGAACCCGACCCAAATTTTTTTACCCAAACCCGACATCGGGTCGGGTCGGGTGTGAGTTTATAATTTTCCCGGTCCGACCTGAATCCGCACCCGACCCGACTCAAACCCGAATATTTTATAACATAAAAGCCTATTTATGAATATAATGAGCATTCCATATAATCTCTTGACAAAGTGCTACTATATTAAGTATGCCTTTTTAATTATTTTTTATAATTTCTTAATAAAAAATGAGACACAAAAAATTAGATTTAGTCCTTTTAAAATTATTGAGGTATGTCGAATTGATTATTGGTTAAAAGTCGGGTTCGGGTTTTGGATTGAAATACCGGATTCGAATCAGGTCAGGTTTTTGGCTTAAAATGTCAGGTTCGGGTCGGGTTCGGGTTTCAGTTTTAAAAGTCGGGTCGGGTTCAGGTATAGTGCTATCCGACCCGAACCCGACCCGTTGCAATCCCTAGATAAATGAGAGTGAGAGCGAGAGAGAGTAAAGCAAATATAATGCATTTGCAACTTTTTAACACAATACTGTCTTCCGTTAATGCCTCAAGTAATCATGCATACGAATGTATTCTATACTCTGGGTAGTATATTTTGTGGCTTGATAATGTCTTACTCGTATTATTTTAGGGTCAAAATAAAAATTGCATGTTTAATTTTACATGGTCAACCTTCATTTGTTTTTTTCTATTTTTGTTAGTCATTTAATAAAATAATATACTTGGTCCGTCCCTGAGTGTTTGTCCACTTTTGACTTTTGGAACTGTTCATTTAAGCACTTTGACTCATCAAATTCTCTAAATGTGTAAGCCTAAAAATAGTCATGTGTGATCTTGTTTGATTCGTCTTAACATATAAATTATTAATATATAATTTTTTAATATACAAATTACAAGATAAAATGGATTAAAGAAGTGCATTAGATAGTGTGCCAAAAGATAAGTGGACAAAGACAGTGGGACGGAGGGAGTAATTTTTATAATTTTTTAATATACAAATTACAAGATAAAATGGATTAAAGAAGTGCATTGGATGATGTGCAAAAATGAAAGTGGACAAACACTCAGGACAGAAGGAGTAGTCATCTTACAACAAGTTTTGTAGATCTTTTGGTGCAGTTTTTAAATATGTAATTTTTTAAATCCTACATTGTTTTTTATATGAAATGATTTGACAAAAATTTCAGTCAGATATCATAAACCGTATCAGGCTATTTAAATTGGGACAGAGGGAGTAGTATTAAAATACTCAAAAAAAAATTATTTTTAAATAGGGAGTAAATCATCAGCTTATACACCGTGCTAGTAGAAGGGGAATTAATGAGTCCTTAACTCACTTAAATAAACTCAACATTTATGAGTTGTACTTATTACAAGCTATGTTGTTAGGTGAGAGACAGTGGCCACAACAACGAACACACAGTTTCGACAGATTCGAGGCGAGCATTTTGTAGGGACGATACTCTGAACCAACGATGGGGGCCGAAGAAGGTCCTCTTCCTCGTAGGAGGCGAGTGGAGCTTCCAGAAGGAATTCTGATGGAGGTGTTCAATAGGTTGCCTGTTAAAGACATAGCGAGATGCACGGTGCTTTCGAAAGACATCTACAACCTAATCCATTCACATGCTTTCTACAGGATGTGGATCTCGGCCAATCTACAAGAAACAGTAATACTGTTTTCAGAAAGAGACAACTTTTCAGAAAGTGACGACGACGCCGGTTGGAATTCCATACATTCCATAGATCTGATGGGCTTAGACCAGCCTGATCACCTGCCGCCCCATCTGGTTGAAATCCCTCATCCTTTGGCTGTGGAGGATCGGGTTGATAAGATGTTTCTGCGGGGATCCGTAAAGGGCGTCCTCTTGCTTGAAATCGAGAAGGAGGGAGTGGGCAGCAGGTTCCAAATCTGGAACCCTTACCTGAGGCTGTTGGGCCCTATTATCCCCCTCCCCCCTGGGGTCGCTGCTGCTGGTGGAGGGGATGAGGTACATTACACAGCCGTTGGTTTCGGTCATTCCCATGGTGACTTCCATCTTCTCCTCCGCCTCCCCCAGGAGGAGGAAGAAGGAGCAGAGTTCTTGCGCCTCACAGTGCGTATCTTCACCCTCCCAGTAGGTGGCATCCAAAACCAGTGGACTTCTGTCACAAGTCCGTTCCTGCTCCCAGTCGGTTCCCATCTCTCGGGCATCACTACAAATCCATTCCATGACCACACCGTCCTCTGGACCTCAAACCACCGGAACCGTTGGTCCGTCTCAGGCTTTAACTTTGAGAACCACACTTTCATCCCTGCCATTTCATTCCCATTGTGGGACAGCAGTGATGGCCCCCGTAGCGCTCCGACCATAAGGATTTTAGGTGATAGAATCTGCACTTATTGCGCCGCTACCAATGCCACCGCGGATGCTCATCCTGTCGTCCTCTACCAACTTGGCGATGATGGCCGTTCTTGGACTAAAGCGGCGCGGTTCCATCTCATATTCGAAGGCGAAGAAGAAGACGAAGACGAACCGGAACTGAATGACATGTTCAGAGATTTTGTAGCTGCAACATGGAAAAACCCATGCCTCGTGGTGTACACATCCGAGGACCATATCATGGGATATGATCCGGAAAACAAATAATTTTTCTACTTTGGTCTTCAACCTATGCAAGACGACGACGACGACGATCCTGATCACCCATCATTTGCCGAGCTACAAGCAGCTGCCTATCACCCTTCATCTCTTTGGCCTTATCCCAGGTATATTACACTTCTCTCCTTCATTCTAGTATAATCTGTTCTATATAGGACTAATAAATGTTGTTTTTTCCTATATAGCAGATTTACCCTTTTTTTAATTACTTTGTAGCAACCGTTTCTTTGTTAATTTAAAAGAAAATAGTGTTTACTTATTTAGATAATAATTATGCATTAATTGAAGAATAATCTGGAGTTGCCACCTGTCACGGCCAGTTGTTAAATTTATCCAACTTCCTCTCCTTATTTTACGGATGTTTAGTTTCTCTCTTCTTCTCTCCTTGCTATTCTATATATAGTTGTTTTTGTATCTTCAGTAGAGGTAACAGAATATGCAACAGAAATGTAAGAAGGATCTCCATTGCTAAAGCTTCAATAAAGATTTTATTCTCTTTCGTTTTTCTCAATCCTTTTCTCCAGTGCATTTTATCATGGTATCGGAGCCGACTTCAATGGCGAAATTGAGATCGGAAATTGAGATTTTTCTTTGATTTCTTTCTGATTGTGATTCATCAGCCTGAAATCGCAATTCTTCCTCAAGGTTCTTCTCTGTTCTACCTTTCTCTGTGAATTTGTTCTTCTCCAGTTTCGTTTCAGCTTTAATGGCGGAAGAAAACTCAAACACTCGAGGATCGATTGATATACACAGCGAACTGTATTTGCATCCTACAGAATCTCCTAGTTTTGTTCTCGCTTCTCAGAAATTGAATGCTGAGAACTTCTCGCAATGGAGAAGATCTGCTGAGATAGCCCTAAGCGCGAGAAACAAAC